AGGAAAGGATTTATAAAACTCAATAAACCAATGTACTATGAACTCTTTTTCTTTCTTTGGCATTATCACCAACAAAACACAAAATAACGTACAACACAGTCTATTAAAGTCACGTGCACGTCGGAACAACAATTCTGTTTACTATTATTCACCCTCTACGCACGCGTCGAATTGTTGTGTCGTTTACACGTTCATGCATTTGCACCAGCCACATGCAAATTATCTGACCATCCAGATTTTACTCAAGCCAAATTTTCTGGCTTGTGCAAGTAAACAATTTTCGTTTTCATGCACAATTTACTTGCACAAATTGGCATGCACAAATCAATTTGCGCAAATTGCATGAGCGTGAAAACGCACCTTTACACATTATACAACATACTTTAATATCATTAATATAATTGTGGGTGCATGGTGCACACAAGATAACACTCTCTATTAGTAGTTTAATAGTAAATTTATTATATTATTTTCTATGGAAGTTTGTTAAGTTAAATGAATAAAATTGAACCTTTGTTTTTATGAGATATAAGTACAAACCAGGGGGGTAAGGGGCCCTACACTATTTGTGTGCCTAGGGCCCGAAAAAGGTTAGACGCGACTCTGGATGAGGCCATCAGTTAAATTGAGGATGGAACTAAATCTCAAAGTTTGAATAAGGCCTACACGCGAATAACTTCCGAAGCTATTAACAAATTAAATTTCTTTTATAATATTAAAGGACAACTGCAAGAAGTAAACTCCTACAAACTTACTGTGTTTATCAATACATTCTAAACGTCGCTCCTTAAATTAATTCACTTTCACATACATGAGCGAACACCTTAAGTGAACGAGCATGAGTAACTTGACCATAACTTTACTGAGATCGCAAAGATAATAACAAATTACTTACTTTATTTTATAGCATACGTTTTATTGATGTTTTAATAGGATTGAGTGAGTAAGCTAAGCCGTTCTTTAACCGTAAGGATACATAAAGTGATCACTTTTAACCGTAAAGGCAGATAAAGTGAAACAATTGATTGTGCATTCTAAAAACATCTGTCATTCTTATTTCAAATGCACGATATAAATTGACGTTCAAAACATATGACAATTCTGTTTCTATGGAAACGGTCGCGACGACAAAACCTAAGCTTGCTATTTTTGACGTCTCTAAATTAAATTCAGAATTGTCAGAAGCTTGATAAAGATTCATACACATATACACACACTGCACACACTGCAAATACATAATCCCACACTTTCGTAGAGTGACGTGGCGTGGCATGTTGTGGGATGGCTTGCCGTACCATGTCACAAGTGTGTTCCTACCTTTACTCCGTAAACAAAATTTACATTGCAACAAAACCTACCCTTCAAAGCTATAAAAATAACTCATGAAACTATTGCAATGTTGAAACAAAAAAGAGGAAACACAAATACAACAATTTTTATTGGCGTGAATACAGTACTAATAAAGGTTATCGCATTTTCCTACCTAGGAAAGTGAGTTTGCAGATTTTGTATTTCATGCAAACCCCTTCAATTAAATACTGACATCTTCGTAAAATCTTTACGTTTCAAGTTCAAGCACAAATACAAGACTAGTATTAGTAATTTGGCAATTTGGTGGATAATTAATGAGGATATGTTTAATAGGGTGCAAAAGTTGGTTCTGTGGTTTTTAAAGTTCCCCAGCTCCGAGATGTTCGAAAGCAGGGAATATTATGCAGTGTTCTATTCGATAGGAGAGATACGCAAAACAGGTCAATGTGTGTGCGAGGAGCGTGAAAACAAATCTTTCTGCGTCATGCAATACTCAAGGCAACAATAGCTTCGAGCCGTTGTGTAGAATTTCAGCTTGTATTGTTTATTGTTGTAATCAGTACACACAAATGGTTCTAGGCTTAGAGGAAGTTGAATTATAATGTATGCTGCGTGTATATCTAAACACCTCCGATCTATCATCATTTGTCAATTGCTAATCGCATAAATGACACGTGTTGTAAAAGGTTGTAGCGCTTTTCTGTTCAATCCGCAAGTTTGTCTAAATATTTCACATTTTTCGCTACATACTACCTTCATTAGTTACCTTGTCCTTTAGAAACAGGTGTGTTCCATTACTCAACTAAAATGACTATTTGGGTCTTTTGGGAATATGCTTAAAGTTTCAAGCTCAGAAAAAGCCGGGCATGATGCCGGTTCTCATTTTTCATCTAACTCAAAGAAATAAATCAAGGGGTTAGCTAGAGTTATTTGATTTTCCGTTTCCTTTCTCATGCTTTAACTACAAACACAGAACCAATTATAATCATAGATCGCCTGGGAATTTAACCTTTTAAAAGTTAACTACCGAAGGAAATCCTAAGAATAAAAACTCAATCTGCCCGCCATTCATGTATTTACTCGGATCAGAATATATACCTATCAATATGTGCGATGAATTTCTCCATTATGGAAACGTTGTGATTGAATTCAATAAAAGGTACCTAACTAAATTGTTTGTAACGTTGTATTTTTGTTTAATATTGCAGAAATCCATAGCCCATAAGAAAATAAACAAAAATACAATGTTACCACCAGTTACTTTTTATTGAATATAAAATCACTATGAGTGGGTTCAATCCTTGGCTCGTAAACGGATAGATAGCGTGGTGATGTTTCTGTATCGGCACGCTGCCAAAATAAAAATCAAAAGTGCAGCTTTTTTAAGTTATGTTCTTATACAAAATGCTTTTACATTTAGCGTTCGTTGTTATGCGTTTATCTTCTTATGTCTTTAACTCTGTTCTACTTAAATGTATGTACTATTTTCATATCCACACAGAAAGTATATTGGGTCCAGGTCTTTTTCATTTTATGATCTTACGACTTAGTCGTGCCAACAGCGATAACTAAATCGAATTTAGGTTTATTACTTGTGATATGTTTCTTCCCTAAACGATTTTCTTTTAGACTATTCTACTACAAACATTTATAGAACATGCTTTGCGATGTTATATTTAATTTTGCAATTGTTTGAATAAGTCACTCTATGATTTAGTATATTTTCACTTATTTTCCAAACGTACGCAACTTTTCGACAATACAAATCTTCCAAAAACGTAAAGTAGAACTAGGCGCTCTGGGCCTGTGAACAATATACCACGCACAAGCGACCGATTGAAGTTAATTTTTAATAAAGTTTAATTCCCTTACACTTACAGATAAATAAGCCTCATATCCGATCATAGCTCCGATTTTCTTTAATAAATGCACAAAAAACACCAAGTTTGTTGTCACCCTCTTCGTTATTGGCTTAAAAGAAGTGACCTTATTGTAATTTCAATTGTAGATATGGGTTTTGGAAGTGGATTACTCACTTGAATGGGTAGGTACTTGGAAACCCTTACAGAAAGGGATCACTTAACTGTTTACTACGCGAACGACAAAGTCAAACTTCTGAATACGTGATACGTAGCACAAACCTAGACTATTCACTTTTATAAAGACTAATTAAATATTTTAAACCACCCTCTAAACGTTGTTCTACAGTAGCTTCTCAACCACAAAGACTGACTGCATTCACCAAAAAAAACCCATTTAACGTATTCTTATCCTGTTTAAATATTCTTCCCTCCTCAGACCCGTCGATACTTCTCCTTTATCATTTCATTAACTATAAAGGAAGGGCCCCTATTCGTACAATAAATTAACACTTCTGTTAACTACGCAGAACGCCCATCTATCCTTAAATTACATCATCTTTTTAAATGAAAAAAAGACAACGCAATTATCTCCCAATATCCCTAACCTTTCGTATCGTAAATTAACTGAACCATAAATCATTCGAAATACAAGGCGATTATTTAAATTGAAATATCTAATAATTCTAGTACAAATCAATAATGAACTCAGATTTAAATAATATGAACGAATTTCCAAATTAACAACCACATTTAACCTTGATAAAAATTGAAATTATACCATAAATATATTCTGCCCATAAAGTAAATTACGGAATTATCTTAGTATTTTGGGATCACCTTTAAATATACGTTACTATTATTATTTATTGTATAACGATTTTTGAATGAGACATTACCTTACGATAAAATGTAAAACGGAATTCACATGAACTTTAAGTGTGGATTGCATTTTTGAAAGGTGAAGTATGCTCAAAATGATAATTATAGCAAAGAATACTTAATAATAAGAAGTACAACGGAATAGGTTTCGTTGAAATAGTTATCTGTTAAATGTGTTGCCTAACCACATGAAATATTATTAATTAATCAACCTCCATGGCTATGCCCTGCAATGGCCTTGCAGGTTCCTACTTGCAATGTTGCCATATGCCATAACATCCTGCATCTTTATTTAATATTATTTTGCAAATCGACCTTTGAACTCCTCATTATTTTCATATATAATTTAATTTTATACGTAGCAAGATGAAGTATTGTTTGCTATGTACCTAGGGAAATTTACTGTTATTTCGGCATTCGGTATGATTGTATTTCCTCTGGAATTAACACAATGGAAAATCTAAATCACCTCCTACACTTTACGAGAATAACACGTTTTGAAGCACCAGGAATCCGGATCAAACAAAATCTCGATGTCGTCGATCTGTCTCTCTGTTGTGTTATTTTGCATAAAGCCAAATCATTTTAAAGTTTCCGCCGTGAAATTATTGAATCAATGAAGATTTTGCTCTACCAGTGATCTGAACCCAAAGTTTTGTTGTACACTTGTACCTACTAGATTTGATGAACACAGCGCTTGCTATTTGAAGTAATGGGACGCTAGCGTTAACCATACTTGCAGATGTATTCCACACTGACTCCCTGTACTGCGCAAACGCAAGCGCGCTAAAATTTGAATTTGTGTACAGTTGTCAAGTGTAAGGGGTAAATAATATACAGATAACCTGCAAACGTTATAATTGAAGATAATTTAGCTTACCTGCTTACCTATTATGTGTAGTAGGTATATGAAAATGCCATGTTATCAAGATGAATTTTGTTGTTATCTACATTTGGAGTGCATGGTCATAGAATATGCCAAAGGCGATATTAGGCAACTGCTTCGGTAAGTTCTGTAATAGTTAATTAGAAAGAGTTAATGACATTTACTTACAGCAATAACGTTACAGACCAACATTGACCTATGGTAAAGAGAGAGTCCGGTGCTGAACGAATCACAAAAAACCAGACTACAAGGATCATGACTGATAGCTAAAGTAGAGGTTTGCTTTCAAGTTGGCGCTATAATGTATTTAACCGGAATTCACAGTAGTGACCGAAGGCTTTAATTCGAGAAGAAGAACATATTCTTTCCGAAAATACAGCGACATTTGGTTTGTAATATGGAAGTCAGCAGGAACTGGTATTATAAACAAAACAAACGGTAGCACGTTAAAGCAAATTCAAATTTTAGCGCACTTGCGTTTGCGCAGTACAGGGAGTCAGTGTGGAACACATCTGCAAGTCGTTAACCATAGCCCCCCCCCCCCGAATGTCAAGATTTTTTTGCAACATTCATAATAGGGATAAATGAACTCAAAGTGGCACTAGCTATAGAGATTTTGCGCTTTCTTTCTTTAGCCAGACATTCAAAATGGTGGTTAACAGACCCCCAAATTCTTTTTGTTTAGCATGGTCGGGTAAATCAAAAAGTTGCACATTGTTGCATCCGAACAATGCACAGTAAGCCATCGTGAAATTTTAATACTAAAAACTAATACAAAAATCCGATATACTAACTGATACCCAACCATCCTCGAGATTGTGTTTGGGCTGTAATTTTAGGACCCGATGGTCTCTACGTAGCTGAAAAACAATAGTTCTTATTTAAGAACATGTTACATGTGTTCTGTGTACCATTTTTCAAAGCGATTGGACGTTTCTAAACAAAGATATCGTGTAGGTACACGGAGAGACAGACAGTAATACAAATTATAAACGATCTGGAAGAAAGTATGGACGTAACGAGTACAAAACGCACCTATTCCTTGATCTTACTGTACAATTACATTTTGTTTCATCTGACCAAGTAGAAAAAGGTCGCAGCATTGAATTTGACAGTTATAAATTCAAAGGTCCTCACCTAGGTGCAAACTATACCTAAATGACGAGTATTCGCGCCTTCGATGCATAACAAGGCAACTTCTCTGTAAATGCCTTTGGTAATGAGTTTGGTAATGAGTTTAAAAAAATTAAGAATTGTTGTCAAATTGCGATATTTTGTTTATGTGTTTTCAGTTCGTCGTTAGCGTAAGCGCCCTTGAATAAGGAATCTTTCTTATTCTGATATCAAATAATTATTACGATTTGCTTATACGATGGTAGCGCTAAATGAAATCGGATTTTTACAAAACATCAAACATGTTATAATTAGGGGATTGGCGGTATCAGAGGCGGATCACCGCTCAGGCACAATAAGCTTGTGCTTGGGCCCTCATCTTGTCTGGGGGCCTCCAAAACTAATAACTAGCAAGAAAAAATCTCTGGGAAAAATTGATTTTTGTTTATTGTACGTCCTGGAATTTATAAACGACAACGACAACCCCCAATACCACTAAACTATTGTGGGATTGCAAAGCCATTGTGTCCAGATATATAAAGTATTACTTGACGGGCTGCAATCTACATTCCCTAATGTGGAAACTATTTTGAAAATATTTTTAACCATGTCTATTTGTAACGCTAGTGGCGAACGTTCCTTTTCCTGTCTTAAACGAGAAAAAATCATTTACGAAATTCTCTTGGCCAAAGTAATTTAAATAATTTGTCCGTCATGTTTATTGAGGCTGATATTGTACAATTATTGGACTATGAATTGCTCATTTTTCTTACCTTAAATCCAGAAAAGTTCCCTTATAAGTTGTAATAGTTTATAGGTAGGTACCTTAATATTGCAATAAAACGTTAAATTTTAGACAATGTTTGAATTAGAACCCTACTTTACATCAATTAATATTAAAGTAGAAGGGAAGGTAACACCTCGGTTATGATTGAATGGATGTGAGTAGACATTCCATCAGTTTTTCAGACCTGATCATTATAAAACGGCCAATATTTGTGATTATACCATAATCAAAATTAAATTTCACATTGATTTAAAAATGTTAAAAAATTTTGAATTTTTATTAGGAGAGGGGCCTCAAAAGGGCGTTATGCTTAGGGCCTCTAAAGGGTTTAATCCGCCACTGGGCGGTATCAAATATTGACTGCATATCGATTGAGGGCAGATGTAAACAAGTACAAAGCAGGGTTTATGTAAATCGTAAATAATGGGAGTAAGTATTTATAGGACAGTAATAATATAATTGGAGAATTAAACAGGTGGCAGGTCATATTTTTGATTTATAGAATGATCGCACTGAAAGGTGATAACCGGGGAAGTGCGAGACAAATGACAATTATGTTGTTGTTAGTTTGATACCCATTGCTTTGAGTAACCTGACTCTCGCCCACACAGCTTTGAAATTATGGAGAGTATCTTTGGCAACACCGCCATGAATAATGTTACCGTTTTGCTGCAGGTACCTATAATCTCACCAACTTTACGGTACATTTTAGTTATTCAACTCAGTTACTAGAGGGCCAGGGTATCGCCCTCCCAGCGCTGAGTAGATTCAAACTATTTCACAATTTAATGATACGCTGCATCTCTTATTATTAGTTACTCTTTGATTATAGTGTGATGTCCTAAATTTGGAGAAAAATCGAAAAAGTTCACAAACCGCAACTTCGTACGCTCGATATCGACAGATGTACGATTGGGTGTCCAAACAAAACAGAATTCGTTACTTGAGTTATTCCTTTGAAATTCCTTCAAAGAAATTATCCTTAGCTCGCTCTGGATATAACTATTTCGGCTGTCCTTTTATATATTCCTACTTGTTGCGGCGCATTTATTAGGCTGCATTATGCGCACTCGTCGAACAACAATCGAATCGAATACAAGATGTTCGTTGTTTTGATCAACCAACAAGCTACGGTATCGCTACCGAAAATGGTAAACATCGTCAGTATCAATCGTATAATTGTTTATTGAACCTAACAATAACAAGTAAGTCCTTTCTCCCATATTTTGTTTCGCAATTGTGCACTCGTATCCACGCCAAATCAAGATCAGAATAAATTAACTTTACTTATAATTAAAAATACAAGTAAATTAATAAACACGCTGTGACGTTCCGCCCTATATATACAACCTGCGACGATGCACACATGTGTGTTTTATATTTTTTGAGTTTCAAGCTTTAATTTGAAATCGACTTCATTTAACCATAATGCAGAATCACATATTTGATACCGTTAACCTTTTGTTTGAAATCGTTTACGTTTTGGGGTAATGTTTGCTTAATTTATATTTATGTTTTGATTACATGGTCTTGACCAGAAGTAATATTCATTGATAATTCTTTTAATATGTGGAAATTACTTATTTATTTGATGTATGCACTTGTTGTTGTTTGTAAGTAACATTTTCTCTGTGAATGAAGCAGTCGCGGTGGTGGAAAAACCGTAACCCAATGAGCTACGCCACCTAATTCCGTGATCGACTTCGACATTCAACTGTAGGCTCGAAACCCCGAATGAAGGGCAAATCATACATCTCGGGGGCGCGATTATGTAAACCTTCGGTTTAGAATCTATGTGATATATGAGTTGCGGTGCACTGATTTCCACATATTTTGTCCTAACATTGAATTTGCCCTAAAGGCCACGTAATTTTTCATCTTGCTCTAAACAGAAAGATTTTATTGTACCAACGAAGAGTCACATCCTGTGTACTTCACCCTTTTTCAGAATGCTTACCGGACCCATTATCCCCAAAACTTGTTTTTAACCTGTTTGTCTCAATATTGTTGTTATAATTTTATGTTATACATTCACATCATTACAAACAATTAATTTTGCTACACAATTTGATATTAATTTGGCCCTTGGTTTTTTTGTTGTTGAAAAGTTCTTTTTTCTCAGCCTATTTCTGTTTTTACACGGTGAACCACCATTTTCAAGGTTTATAATTCTTGCAATGCAATGAAATTTATTTTGACTTAAATTTCCGAGCTTTTACAATCATAATAATTACGATCATTATTAAACAAACTTTTCACAATTTCAGTGTTTTATTTCACGTTCCTTCCCAACCATACTTAGCGTTGTTCACCGCTAACGCCTTAGATGTTTGATCACGTGCCACTTTTCGATTTCAAATTTAAGTTTTTGGAGGGAACAGTCAGTCGGGTAGCAATTTTTAAACGTTGAAGGGTTGATTTTATTTAAGAATAAGAATAAGAATTTTTTTATTAGAATTTTTTTATTTTTGTTCAAGTACAGCAGCAGAGTAGTTGAATTAACACCAAATAAAATTAACATTAATGAACAATCTGATTGACAAACTAACTAATATTTTTTTTTTGCTATACTAGAGAAAAAACTTAGGGCCTCTAAGGCAAGCCTGTGTAGAGGACACCCTCACGCACTTAAACTAAAAATGAAAACAATAAGCCTGCGGTCAGAATAAAACCAGACCATTGAACAAAACATAATTTTTTGTGTATCACAATATATATACCAAAGTACTAGAATTAAGAATTATTTATACGTAGGTTACATTTCTAAATATACCGTATTGTAGAAGTGGATAATTTGGCTTATACACGTAGGTTTACTAGCTACCTACCCCCGTACTTCAATTAAAAATTCAACATCTGGGAACGATAGCAGCCATCGCATTATCCGTGTCCTTGTACTGTGAAGTTAGCGTAGAACCTGGGAGTTAAGTACATTTCTCTTATACGAAAAGCATTGCAAGCATTCCACGCACAGTTGACATAACAAATATCGAAACTTTATTTTTACACGCCACAAGAATAGCAGAAACCTAGCATACAGAATGTCATAGCTATTTGTACAACTAGAGAAGAGAGTGGAGTTTTTCAACTCGAGTTCAAACTTTTACACATAATTTTTTCTGAAACTAAAACCAAAATTAAAAATGATCGTATGCAATAATGAAGTTTGACACATAGCAATACGGGTATGTTTCAAATTTAAATGTAATTATTAACATTAACGCAGTAATTGTTCACTAGAGAGGAAAACCCTCTTTAGAGACGCAAGTAGATTGTAAAGTAGTTTCAGAAAGAATTATAAACACATTGACACGGTACGTCGCAAATGACTTGGCAAATGTATCGATCGGTGCACAAATTAGCAGAGTGCGACATCAGCGAAAAAAGCACTTCGAGGACACACAGAACGCATCAAAATCCGTTTAGCCGTTCAGACACAAACACGCGCATAGAAGAACTTTATATATAACGAATAACGATATTACTTTAAGCCCAGTTTCACAAACGATGTTAAGATTAACCGTTGATTAAAAATATTAGAATGTTGGCCACCTTTCATTATAAGGTAAGGTGTTCTCCATTCTAATATTTTTTAACGACTTTTTTTGATTCATAAACGGTCAGTTATAAAATTACCTATCATTTTAAGAAACAACAAAGACAACGAATTGAATCGGACAGTTTTACGTGCGCAAGAAAGCGTTATAGGAAAGTGGAAAAAGTATCAGAAAATTCAAAAAATGCACGAAGAGAAAAGAGAGAGTAATAAAAATTAAAAATTTCCTGCTGAAGGCAGTCGTTAGGGGTTGCGGGATTTCCTTGTATCTATTACTAGCTCTAACACTTTCTCTTAATAAGACGAGTTAGATGCCTTTTATCAAACCTCTATTCTATGAAAATAATTAGATTGTTTATTAGTAATAATTTATTAGTATACACGAGGTAAAAAATTTGATGTATGAGAAGAAACGGGATTTCCCAAAGGCTATACGAAAATCGCCGAGACTGCTAGCTATCAAATGCATCAAATAGAATTTGAGATAAAAGGGTTAATATTCAATTCAAAATAGGATACGACACTAAATATAAAAAGTTATACTGTACTTTCATACAAGCATTCAAATATGTGATCATGTTTCTAATATATTTTTATTGTCGGAACGAAAGATATAGAGCGAGATCAACTAATCACCCTTTGGAGACACCTATCCGACGGAATGAAGGAAAAGTTCAATTAGTTTTTACACGATGTTGAACAGGTGAGAAATTGACTTCATTGCAGTATATACCCCTAACTTTATCTAATCAAGTACTGTAGAGACGCAGCCATTTCAAATATTAAAAGATATTGGTGTTTGGCTTGCTACCCAAACACCAATATCTTTTAATATAGGCGTTTATTACGACGCAAAACTCGAAAGCATAAAAAAAATCCTGAAAATAGTGATCCTTTCTTGATCAGACTTTTTTATGAACAAGGGCAAGTACTCTGTCACAAATATGTGAATGTAATTAAATACGAATCAGAAGAACTACTAATTACTAACATACCTGAAACAACGAGAAGTTCACGTGAAAACTTGGATTATCTATCACAATATAATGAAAACTCGGCTGCGATGCTGCCATTTGCCGGGAACGTACACATCCATAAGATGAACGTAAATATACTAAACGAGCAAGGCTTTAGAAGCGACATCTAAATCTGTATGAAACTTTATCAAGCTACAAAAAGACACGCATATACGTCAATCGCTTCAATGGCTAGGGGTTTTTAAGGAACTATGTAAACTGTCCTAAGCTCTTTGTTATGCATAGTGGCATACTTCCTAAATGTCTCCATATTTTTTTGGAAAACGTATATTTGAAAGCTTTTCGTGTGCGAAGTTTAAGATACGTTCTGGATTCTGATGTCAATTTTTTGAGGATAATACACCTACATCTTATCAACTTTCAAGTTTCCGCTATGCTGAAATTTGTATACTTTTTTTTTCTTTAAGATTATTTAGTGAAATGTTGGATACTGATACGGAGTAGAAATTATTTACTTAACGCCACTTCTGTGAAACGGATTATCTTTATAGCTTAATTAAAAAATTAACTTAGAACAAAGAGATGGAGGGTGAATAAATTAATTGCAGTAAGAAGACGGTTGAATGGTGATTTAGTAATTCAATTTGCATTGACCAGTTTGTGTTCCCATTAGGCTGTAATCTGAATAATTAGATAACATCAGCGATTGATTCATATTCTAACGTAAAAGCTTCCCGACTCTAGTCGCTAGAGTATTAGTCCATGTTCAGCTAGATCGTCCATTCAACAAACAAATCATCTTATTTTGTCGTTTGGTTTCGGATTCTCTGTAAATATGGATTGTAAAGGATTGTTACGAAATAAAAAAAATTGCGGGTATAAAATTGGTCTTTATGAGTTGAACTGTAGTGTAAACAATATACACAATCAGGATTGAAAGTCTTGCTGTTTACCGAAAGATGTGTAGGTAGGAGTTGATTCGTTTTTTTACGGGTTAAAAGAGGAAGAATGAGGCCTACATCGATTTTGTCAAATATAATGCTCAGACATTGTTAGTCAATTTGATTTGTTTCAAAAATCTGTTGTTCACACGAAACGTTCAATACGACATGTCATTTCGGTTACATAATATTCTAAAAGTTGAAACAGATTTTTCTAAATACCATTTTGCAAGGTTAAGTTATCAAATCACCGAACCTTTTTTGTTAAAAAATCGTATGGAAATTTTTACTTTTGTTCACGATTTTTACTCTACGTGTTCATGACGTTTATTCCTATCTATGAACAATAGGATCCAATTTTGGAATAACAGTAAATCGTGAATTTTAATGATATTATTAAATTATAGGTTATAAAGGATCCCTTTGTATACAATTTAGTACACAACTTTCAAAATGTGTTGTAACCGAAATTTTTTCATAGTGATCCTTAATAGCCCATAATAATATTATTGAAATTTGTGATTTACTGTCACTCCAAAATCGGAATTGACAAAATTGTTATTCCAATGGCAACTAGATCGGACTATGTTTACTATATATTAATTTGACTGTCACTTTTTCCGAAAACTTTTGAGACATACGTTAAAAGAGAACGTAATTTTAAGTTTTCTTACTTTTATTAATTATCGATCGTCTGTGTGCGGGGTACTTTGTCTGACAAACTTCGCAAGCTTCTCCTTCTTTCAGAAATGTCGTTTTAATTTTCATTTTGTTGACCAAAACTCAGGTGCAAATATCTCTAGAACGGAGTGCCAAAGTGACAAAATAAGTTGAATGATTCGACAAAACGTATCTCAAAAATGAGAGTCAGAGAAAAATCTCAAAAATCACATTATACTAAATTGCGCACAGAAGCGCAGCAAGATTGAACTGCTGTGGTACCCCTGATGTCAAAATGGTTTTAGTTTTGGGTTATATTGTTCTAAAATATATCCACACCAATATTTTTCTCGGATGTGTGAACATTTAAAAGGACTTACCTATTTAAACGGTAGATAATCCACGTAAAAACTTTAATTTTCTGGGTGAAACGATCCTCGTGTTATGCCAATCAAAAATGGCCATTCGACGTATTCTAGGAAAGGTACAGCTTGTTATAACGCGATAGATCGCACTATATTGTCAAGAACTTTCGCGTCATCTGTTCTTTCAACATTCACAGATGAATAATTGTCATTTTTAGAGACTTTTTACACATTCTAAAGCAATTTGAAAATGAAATCGGAAATGTACCATCCCTACTACGAAAACTTGAGCATTCATAGAGCACAATATGTGTAGATTCGTCTCAAGAAGACGGAAATAAATTTGAATTTTTAGTTTTGTTTAATAATTCCTTTGGCATACCAGGTCAAATCCTAACTCGACGTCGGTCGTTTGCAAAATGTATATTTAAAACGAACGGTTGGTTATGAATTTTTACATAGCTAATTTTATTTACTATGGAAATTCGCTTCTACCTTCTGTCAACAACAGAGCATCTCAAATCATTCCCCATCGAATGAATTTTTTAACGTTCTTCAACAAAATATGAAAACCCCATCTCAGATAGGACCAGAAAACGTTGCCGGAATGCAGAGCGACGTTTATTATAAAATTCACATTTCCGAATGTGTACATGCATCATTGAAGTATACACGTTCGTGTAGAAAAAATTATCTACTAAAAGAATTGATTTGTAACGTACCTAAAACTCTCCTTTTGTCCACGACGAGTGCGAGAATCATATCTGAAACAAAAAAATTCGCGTTAGTATTTATATTTCCGCTTTTAATGGATTTCTTCCCTTAATTCCGAGGTTTGCGGCTACCACATCATTAATAATGCAAGAGATTTATGCTCATGGGAATGCCGGATATAAGCGTTGAAAAAATTTTATTGCCACAAATTAATATACGTATTTAATTATGCTCGTGAAATGTAGCTCTTATTGCAGCATCCACTGTGGAAAATGACATTTCGTCTTTTTTACAGAAAGTTTAATATCACGAGCGCTTTTCTATTAGGAGTAAATGTTCTGAACTTACTCTCATTAGAGTTGATTTCTAATATCCATTTTTACCACTCATTAGTAAGGGAGGATTGCATTGGGGTAAGAAACGCTTTCCACTTTTTTTACGGAAATACACGTTTTGAAGCACCAGGAATACGAATCAACTTTCGACTTTCGTCGATTTTCGACTTTCGTCGACTTTCCACTTTCGTCGACTTTCGACTTTCGAAATCTACCGAAATATATCCGAAACAAACGAAGGGTTAAAACTATCAAAAATTCAAAATTTAACCATTATTTTGAAAATAATCCAAATTTGGGGCCTAAGGTCAGATACGCAACTTTTTTAATGCCGCCATTGGCACCAGCGACCCTATATCATTCGACCCCTAGAACGCCGAAATTCGTCAATTTTTACAGGTTAAAACCTTGAACGCCCTTTTGAATAAAAGTGTTCAAATTCTGAACCCATACGAAAATTTTGATGGGTGCTGCGGGTGAAAAGTTTTATTTGGACCTAATAAACACGTGTACCGATTTTCATGCTTTTGTCACAAAATGCAGCGAAAAAATTTGCACCACCTACGCTAAAAAAGAAAACAACAGCATATCGCTTTCTATTTCTTGATATAATCACAAAAGTAAAAGAATTGTACAAAGTATATCGAATTCTAGGCAATCATTTGCAGGTATTGTTAAAAAAGAGAACGCAATTAAACATACAAGCTAAGCGATTCTCGCTGTAACTATCTCAAGACGTGATTATTTCGTTCTACCCTTTCTACATACCGTATACCAATGTTTCTTTCTGCATACATTTATTTCTGAATGTTTGCTTGAGAAAATAAGAATCGTGGTAGAGATCCCTAGACGCGTCTCTTTAAATTTAGTTCTAGCAGCGTTTTTTTTTTGCGAAATTCAATTCTCATTGTGTAAAAAGCAAATCGATTGTCTCGCCCCTTCGCTGAATAAAATTACGAAGTTAATAGGTAAAAACCGTGGGGATCAAGATACCTCAATAATCTAATATTACAAGGCAGTATATGCTATACAGTAACCGTCGTAAAGTAAATATACTATAAAACTTAAGCCATTAGACCTACGTTGCTGAAGTAAGCACCGCATAAATCCCACAATACGGATGGGAGTGCACACTGATCTGATGTATTTACGATTTCACTGGATGATAAAATAATTCCACCATAATAACGCAGATCTAAATTTTGTGGAAACGTTCTTAATAAACTAAAACTCAACGATAAATTGATAAAACAGGACCGACATGGAGCATTATGGCTAGGGCTACACTGTCTTTATAGTCACTGTAAAAAAGTATTTGTTTAAAGCAACATCTCTGATCTCTTTAATAGTAGCGATACTAAACACTTCAAATTGTCAATATAAAAGCATACAAATCTCATTTAATATTAATCCTTTCGATCCCAAAGAAAATTAGCATTTTAGTTCACCCTCTCAGTGTAGTGTGAAGGTACCTATTAAAGTAAATATTGTCGCTCGTTGGACAAATAAAAATCAATAGTAGTTTAACTTTGAATTTCAATTTATCGGTTACTTTGTTATCGATTTGGAGTCTGTAGGAGGAGCCAACTGGCCAACTAGACTAGTAGGTGCAATTAATAGACTATCTATCCACTTTCATGCACCTACTTATATTAAGCATGCTATTTATACTCCCCACCACAGTTCTAGATAAATTTGGGAAAAGTTACACAAGCTTACTTTCAAAAATCACAGAAAATGGACCAACCTTTTCCAAAAATTCAGGGCACCCAAAAAGTTAGTAATACTACTGACATGAGTCAGCTGAAGCATTAAGATATTCGTTTTAAATTGAATAATAAACACCACGAATATATTTGCATATCATATTGGAAATTATTTATAAACGACATAGAAATTCCCACTAAATTCCATCCGTTAAAAACATAACGACCGTTTCAAGGACCGTTTGTAACGATTTATTTTCTCCATTACGGCTGTTCAATCTTGGACAGAAACACATTTCACAACTAAAATAATTAATCGTAATTAACGTAATTATAGTTTAGCGTAATATATTGTAATCAGTAGGAATTCGCAACATTGGTGTAAACAATATGTCGGAATGTACTCTTTACGCGAAAAACGCACGATCTAATAGTAATTGGAACTAGGCTAACATAAACTGCAAATATTGGAGAATGAATTAGTAGTTTGAATGATAGATACCACGTCGATCAATTAGATGGAATTTAACCACGCAATTTTTCGGTGCAGAAATGACAGGCATTTTTCAAAAACTTCCATTTCGTGTCTGTTCCTTTAAACTCTCCGTTCGGCACGTTGGTGGAAAGCTAATGTAGTGTTAATTTCCTTAGGTTGATTGAACTTTTACATAGAAGTGTTCCATCTTTAACGATTCACCGTTTAATTGTGATTTCGAAATTGAGTTTGTTCCGTTTTGCAGTTATCTCGATATTGAGGATCTGAATGGAAATTTTTTACGCGTGACATCCGATATCCGACGATTGCGGGTTGAGCCGACGTAATGAAATAATTGTTATTATCGTTATTCGTATTAGTTGGTTTCTACGCATTGTTTTCATAATGGGTTCTGGATGCCTGGAGACGAGATGTCGCAGTAACTAAAGCCATGGTGGGTATTTTAATTGGCCTTATCTACTCGAAACCGCTGAATAAACGGGAGGTTATTAGGTAGCATGAGAAACTCAGCATTGGCATATTTGAGAAGTTTGTGCGATTTCATTTATTACCCTATTTCTTATTTGATTCGTAGGAAAGAACTAAGCAAAAGAATCAACGATAGAAGATGTCCGACGCCCTTTTGTGGGCGTTTCATTAGTCAGTAAGAAATTAAGGGGCCGGGGGTGTAATTCCGAGAGGTTTTTGTATTTATCCGGTGCTGAGCTGCGTCGGTATCATTGTAATCAATTATCTTATAGAAAAAACCACAAAACCACTACTGTCAAATGGAATAGAAGCACTAATGACAACTATTTACAGGGGTAGATAAGTATATTGTGAGCTAGTACTATAGTAATGACTATAGTGAGGTATGTGGAAGTAGATGGAGAAGATGTGTTATCCGGAACAAAGCTCCTTCTCGGGATTTAGAAACTTACTCGACAGAGATAAATGTCATTATCGTAATTGTCACGGGGAGACATTGAGATTCTACTCAAAGAAATACTAAATATATCTATGCATACCTAATGCACGAGTTGGTACGGTACGTATTTAATCAATAATGACCTGCGTTGCGTAAGCATTCAATTTTCATGAATTTGGTAACGCTGATTATCCGTAGCGATGTCCAACTGCAGGTCATCACGAACTGTCAAAAGAATGGGGAACAAAGTAGTTATTGCAGTAGTTCACCTTATTTTTGTAGCACATCTTCACAGCTTAATGAATACAAATTACATAGCATGGTCAAAATAAATAGTTACAAAGGTTAAGACCACAAAATTTGAAATTAAGCATGAAATATCATCGAAATATTTTCTCGTTTTTATGTAATGTGACAGGCGCGGCGGAGCGTTTAGCATAGGCTTACTTACAGAAAGGTAGTTTCCAAGGTGTATTGAGAGCACTTGAACTAAATGAAGAGTTTCAATAAAAGACAAAATTCAGACAATTTTTGCTTTACTTTTTCACAATTTGTGATATGATCCCAAACGATTGCCGTTATAACTCATGACTTTTGCGCTTAATTAATAAAATTGCAGTGCGAAAGTTCATAGCTTGCAATCGGGACGAATTAGTAACAAAGTTTGAGACAATGTCGGTGGTTTACTTTGATGTTTAAACTCAAAGGGGCTGTATAACATGACATATTTGCCGCAAGCGCAGGCGGATGTGTTGATTTTTCATTAAAAAAGCTCCATGGCGCTATAAAATCTATATACTTTATTATCGGGCTCTACCTATTATGTGATACGCGAAATTCGTTCATTATTTTATAATATCGTTCGTTTATTTATAGTTTTAAATTTACACATGGTGGGCATCTACGAACCTCATGTAAAAGAGGGTTTAGCGTATTTTACACTTTAGTTGGAATTGGAGGTACCCTTAATAAAAAAAAGTGCTTGATTCTCAGTTGTGTGCAGTATAATAGAATTCGTTTTTGGCAAATCCTTTAGCGCATCGTTGCATTTTTCAGATTGGTTAATATAATTCGTATTCATTTCAGAATTCGCAGTTCTATTGAATTTATTACTTTTTACTTGTCTTCAACAGATATGGCACCAACAAAACCATTGAGCTTGCTCGCCTTGTTGCTCGCCTTGGCATCTCCAATTAATAATACGGAAGAAAAGTACAAAGATCAACCCCTTAAAATCGTATCGTAGTTGCTTTAAGCGACCTCAACATGAACAAAATAATCGTAGCAACTTAGTAAAAATTGAACTAATTCGCGTACAGGTGATTGATCTTTGAATCGCAAAATTTGTTTAAATTGCTTTATTTTCCATTTGGCTATTATATGTCAATTATTTCTGTCATATGAGATATATAAAGCAGTATATGACGTCCGAGGGTGTAATGAGAGGGCATAAAGGATTGTCATCTCATTTTACCCTCAAACGTCCTGTCAAATAATATATTGATAGAGTTATATATTATGAAGATATTAAAAGAAGATACGTTCTGAATTCCATAATCTCGAATTGTGTTGAAATATTAATAAAAAGAATGATGCTACTTGATGC